AAATGACTGTTTCCCCTCTCCTCTGACACAGGACTAGATATGGCCTCAAGGGCTCATGCATTTGCTTATTTCCAGCTCAACAGAAGAATGAAGAATGGACTCTCTCCTTTTAATTAATCAAAGAACTCTATTTTAATAAAGCTAATCCAACAAAGTGTTAGTCAATAAATAAGATGCGACCAATCTGTGAAATCAAAATATTAATTACTTTATTATAATCCTATACAGTATAACGGTAATATGACTTTAATAGTTCCAATAGGACTGATCTCACGTAGCGTTAAAAGACAACACATTGCTTTCACTGATCCAATCAGAATCTGCCAGATCTGACGGAGGCGTGGTTTTGGTGGTGTTTGGTAAATCTGTCAACTTGCAATATGAGAAAACAAACAAACAAACCAACTATGCAATGGTAAAAAAAAAAAATACTTGTTTTGTTTTGTCAAATTCCTGAAATGACGATATGGGCCATAAACCAAAACATCCGAAGTATAAAACTATGCCCACGTCCTCTCTAACGCCAGTTCAAAGCGTTCAAGAGAAGTTGTCGGAGTGGCCAATCCATAAGTTTCCTCTTCAGCCGAAAGAACCAACGACAAGCTGGATAAGATCTGTTGCCGTTCCAACTGCTGCAACGGTTCCTTTCAGAATAAAAGCTGAACCATCAAGACCCAGGTTTGGGTCTCACCAGACGCCAACAAAATTGTCGTGACCCGGGAGTATCTCAAGACTGGTGGTCGGCTGCCGTGGCTCCTTCTACAGGCTCCGGCTCCATAAAGGTCAAGCTGGACCTTTACACCTCCTGATCTAGACGTGGACTTCCGCTCAGGGTATGTAGACCAACAAATGGTGTCGAATGTGTTTATGAATCTCCTAATCAAAGCTTAACGCGAAGACATCACCTTCAGTTCCCATCAGAACTAATCGCTTCTTCGGATTTGCTGGTTCTGAGCAACATTACACCTCACACCATTCACCGTCTCATCCACCTTAGTTGCACCATACATTTAGTGTTGAAAGTTAGTCTAGTTTAATTTGTTTTTAATACATTTTTAAACTTTTAAACTTGACTCTCTTCTGTTGTCTCAGAGTGAATACGAAGCTGTTATCTAATCCCTGCATTAAAAAGTTCCAATCTTCTGGTTTAAAATAACCTCACAGATCCATAAGGTTGATTTCATATTTTCTACGTCTTATGGCTTATTAAATAACATGTAATTTAAATCACTACAAGGGACACAAAGATCAGGTTCAGTGTTTTCTGTTCTTTTCTTAATTCAATTGCCTTTTCAACTCATCTAAAGTAAATGTAACTGGTTTTTCACCAAAGGTGCACATCCATTTCTGCACTAGTAAAAGTAGTGTTTTATAAACCATCTAAACAGTAAACATTAAACTAGGTCATAAGATTTCACTTCAAAGGTCAACTTTACACATATTTTTAATACATTAGCAATCATCTCTAGTAGAAATGAATGCCTTGTAAGTCATTATCTGGGGGAAAAAAGCTCTGGTGGGTTTGAAGTTTGGGATTAAGCCAAACTATGTTTGGAGTCAGCTGAAGGAGAAAGTTGTTTCAGGCGACAGGATTTGGAATCTTATTTCCTGATATTTGGTCATCTCTCCTCTGATTGGCTAACAGCAACAGGGCTCTACCACTGACTCAGTTTGCTCTGCAATGTTGATGTTTTATCTCCACAAATAACACAAGCCTGGAGGAGTTCTGCTGTGTGGTGGAGTTGCTAATGCTAATGGTTAGCTTCTACTTGCTGAGACGTTCTCTGCTGTTACATGGTCGCTAAACCAACAACAGCCTTCCCCGTCGTGAGTCCAGATGGGTGAGTCCATGTTAAGTGACAGTGTGATGTAGATCTGTCAGGTTTTTCTAATCCTAGAGTTTCACAGTCAATGTTTTATCAAAAGCTAATGCAGGAGATAGGTGTAGGAGACTATCTTCTTGTTCAACCTGCATAAAAACTCAGGGTTTGTTCATTTAAAAAAATAATAGGTAAAAAATGATTTCTTAGTGAACTTGGCCTTTAATAAAAATGTCTTCTTTGCTTCGTGTTGTTTTCCACCTTTTAACTCAAGACTATAGTTGACCTGCCTAAACTATTTATATGGGTTAAACAGACAGATTTAGAAGTTCTGATCATTGTTTAAAGCCATTTTCCTTTTGACAATTCTCCAGGAAAGTGCGCTTCTTTGGTAATTTCACAATAAAACAATATATCATTATCCAGATTTTAAATCTGTGCTTTATTCTTTTTTTTGTCTGCATCAGTAAAACAAATGCACTCCCTGAGTTCTAGTACCTAAAGTTTGTATGACCACTGTCGTGCAGCTCAGCAGCACATCGCGTTAGTTGTCCTTTGCTTCACCTTATTAGTTTAAACACACAGAACAAATTCTCCACTCTAAGCCCCGCCTCTCTGTACTCCCGCTCAGTATGGAAGCCCCTTACGGACATGCGGTAATCTCACAACAGACCACCATTGTTGCTTTCAGCACAAAAATAAATACGCTGACAGAATTTACAACAAACCATCAACAAGATGTTTGGGAATCATCTGGATTTTATAAGATAGGAAGAGCTTTGGCGAGCAAATATTTTCCAACTACAACTTAGTTTCAGATTGATATAGTCAGGATCGTGTACTTCCCATTTCATTTGTGATTATTTAATCATACTAAAACTATGTTAAACATTTAACCTCGTAAAACCCACGGACCCCGTACCGGATTTACTTCCGGTTTTAAAGTCGTTCCAAAACCACGCTTAATGTTGACCAATATAAGCAAACTACACACGCACATAACGGGAAGAAGCTAGTCTAAACAATAAAGACATTGTTTTCCACCTCAGCAACACCTATTTCACACACTGAGCCTTTAAATCAATCACAAGTAAAAAAAAACACTGATTTCACATATCAAGCAAAGCCTGAGGAAAACATACAATAGTGACAATAAAATACCATCCTATCCAGAAAACCAGCCACTCTAAATAAAGACAAGATTCTCTTCTTTCAAACAATATAAGTCTCATTTCTGTACCATAACAACTCACAAAGCCAGCCACGATCAAACAGAGAACAGCACAGCTCTTTATCGGCAGTCAGCAACATAGTCTGTCTTACTGATTTGTGATCATAATCCTTGTTCCGGTAAAAAAAAATCCACTCGATTCGTGTAATCCATTTTCCCAACGTCAAAACAAACTAATTCCTGTTTTGCACCCTACAGGCGAGTGAGAAGTCCGCAACGTCATCTTACCCAGAAGATTGGCTCATCCCTTGGGGGGCTCGTGGTCTTGTTCTTTCATTTTGGACACAATGAAATGCAACACCACACGATTCTATTGGCTAAGAGCTAACAGTTGAAACTCACAACATTTTTTAAATTAAATTGAAGTCCAACATATGTGTGATTCAGGACTTAAGGCTAAGCGGATTAGGAAATAACTTTTATAGCCCCGGTCAGGGACCCATGAGCCAACTGGAAGGGGAGGGGCCTTAGGCGCACAATAGGGAGGAAAGTCTTCTCCCTTTCCGGTCGGCTCACGGGTCCCCAGAAGAACGAAAAAATTAATGCAAGTCAACGGGGCTGAAAACGCTATTTTCTAATCCGCTTTGCCTTACGCCCTGGATCACACATATGCTGTACTGCAATTTAAATGAAAAGTAATTATGGATGTTTCAACCACGCCAGTCACATCCTTTGAGATTCATTAGCTTGTAAAAGTTCGTAATTAGCATGATTATAAATCAGAAATCGCCATGTCGCATTTGTGACGTCACCACATAATCTCCTCTGCCCTAGCGTAGCTGCTACTTACCACATGACCAGATTAATGGTGGTTCTTTCCTCCTGTGGGAAGTTTGCTGAACTTACAGCCCTTTTCCCTCAGTTTTCTCCGTGTCTGGTTCGATGACGTCACTTTCGTGAAGCACATTTGTAATCCTGGACTTATTTTCACACAAAACCTAAAATATTGTTTTCACCGTTCAAAAATAAGTGCGTTCTTGGTATCAAAATGCGTCTTTGAACTTCACGGACGTAATATGGGAAACCCATGGAACAAAACAAGCAAGAATTAGAAAATAGCGTTTATAGTCCCGTTGACTTGCATTCATTTTGTCGTCCTTCCAGGGACCCGTGGTCCAGAAGTAGATGGGCGTGACTGAGGCTCCCTATATCCACACAACAATGACCAAAGGATATTGTTGTAATAAAATAGTTCTTGTAAATTATCTAACCAATTGTTACAGCTGATGCCTTTTAAATTCAAATTCAATTCAAATTCAAAAATACTTTATTAATCCCAGAGGGAAATTGATTTTACCCTGGAGATGGGAGCTCAGGGCAAATTGCTGCCATCCCCTACCTCCACAAAGGCACAGAAATCACAAGACCTCCCCTCCTCCTCCCTTGTGCCTACACACCTGGACCCAATCACCTCACCAGCCCAGTGCAGCATAAAGAAGAGGAGTTGCCACTGGAGAAGGACTTTGACTGAGATTGAGAGAAAGACAGAGACCAGATCTGTGCCATGTCTCATTTTTGGCTCCATTGGTGTTTTAGTTTGAACTGTTTAAGATGGGAGAAAGCCATAGTGCCTTTTAGGCTTTTAAAACAGACAAGGGGACCAGAGTGCTGGATCCCGCTCAGCTCCAAATGTCTGAGTATAGTCTGTGGACCTTGGTGATATGTTTGGGAGCGTCTGATATAATTGAGAATCCTCATTAATCATATATAACCACTTGCCTTTTTAACACTGTTATTTATACAACTTTTAGATGTGGAGCTTTATTAAAGTCCTTATTTATAATATGTGTTTGAATATTACCAATCTGCACACGCCTCTGTGTTATGATGCGTCCTTCATCTTAAACACCAAACATGATCGTAACACCAATGATGAATATGTGCATTCATGACTTGTTCTCAGTTGCATCGATTTCATGAACAAATATAAATAAAGACAGGACAAGGTCTTTCATCATCCAATTTTTTGGAAAATATTTTGTGAATATTTATTATAAAAATATAAATGTTTTCACTACAAACCATCTTACATTAGTAGACAAGGCCATCTACATTTGCACGCATAAACTCTCACACAGACACACAGATCAGTCTCAAGACATAAAAATCAGGAATCTGGATAGGGTTCATAACAGTATTGCTCTTCGGATGCCTCAGGTTTACAAGGTATGTTAAAATCATAACAAACAGCAATGACACATAATTTACTCTATGCTCAAAAAGGAAAATCAATGCAATGTAAAATGTTAGCAAATAAATAACGTAATCATAATTGTCTTTTTGTAGAAAAAAGCTGAAAAATATAGTTCAACGTAAGATAAAATATAATACAGATGGTTTCCGTCTCAATTAAAAATGTTGCACAATTTTTATTCGGTCATTTTTACAACAAAAAAAAAACATTCGCACAAAAGAATTTAAAAAAGGATGACAATGCACGTATAGTGTAATCTGTAGTGCTAGTTGCTTTCATCATGATGGTTTTACCGTATGTACATGCTAATTCCACATCATCTACAGCAGCATCCACAGGTAGACCGAGTAGAGGAAGACAGAACGGATGGACCGAACAGGGCTGGGTTTCCCAAAAGCACCAACAGCACCCCGTGCTTTCATCAAGCTTAGTCTACTACCAAGGTAAGAACTTTGCCTTCAAAGTGCTGCAGTAATGTGTACCAAGTGCTCAAAGAGGCGTAGACAGCATCTTCGTGGTTTAACATTATGCATCCAGGAGCTCATGGTACCAAAGTGCCAGTTCAGAAATACTGGGTAAGTGTTGCACTGAGGGGTCGCCGAGGTGACATCAAAGCAGGAGACAAGCATCTTTAAATACGCACGTCCTACAAAGACTTTTCATGGTGCCTTTAGGAAATCCCACCAAGAATAGATGAAGATAATAATAATTAGAACATTTGCATCTATTTCAGGGCATTTTCATACCCCCCTCAGGCTGGACTGATATGCTGACCATATGTGCTAAAGGAAACTGAGACTGGGTTATTTCAAACCAAAGTAAAGAAAAGCTTTTTGCTTGTTGACCTCGCCACAATCAAGTTTTAGCTACAGGAGGCACTCTACATTTTGTACTGAAAACAAAATGTACGGGTTAGAAGCTACTTTTACACTAACGTACAAATTTAACCAAATTGATGACTAAACAAAAAGAAAATGAATGATCTCTCATGGCTTCTGTTTATAAGTTAGATTGTTAAATTTCCTTACCACAACTTTCAATGGATCAACGTTCACCTGTTGGTGAGAGGAAGTCTTGGTGAAAACGTGTTTTACTCTGAAAAGACACTGGAACTCACTTTTTAAACATTTCATCCCAAAACAATCGCATTGAGCTCTGAAAAGCGACGATGCTTTGTTTTACTTGATTCTTGTTGCCATCGTTTAGTTCGTACCTTCACCTCTTCTCATTCTCACCATCCCTAACCTTAGTCCTTAGTGGTTTCTTTATGTTGGAGCAAATAGTGTGCACATCCTGAGATTTTGCACAAAGAGCATTGGGTGGTGGGGAAAAGTACTGTACATAGCATTAGCGTGTAGAACATAGATTTCACCATAAAAACAATTCTGTGTGTGCTGTGTGTTATGGCCACCGTCCCTTGTTGGACAGCATTCGATACGTTACACAAGTGACAAACCCATGACTTCAGCACTATGGATTATAACGTTATTGCTTTTATGTGTCATGTCTACTTAATGCAAATGCTTTAGGTTAGAGCTACGGAGTAAAATGGCTCGGTTAGCATCTAGGTTCATCCATACCAGCTCAGCCTTCTGATGGACAGAGACTTTAAACGTGGGTAGCTTCAATCCATCTATCTGGGAGGGGTCCACATCCAGGTCAGCTGCAGCTGTCTGCTATGCTCTTCCCTCAGCATCCCAGCTGATTCACGGCCTTGCTCCGTAGGATATTAGCCTGGTGTTCTGTGGCTAGGCCACCATCATGGAGAGCTCCAGCTTGCTGAGCATGTTTGCCCTGTATCCCAGAAGAGACCACGTTTGTAATCCTGAATACTTCTCTCTGACTCTCTTATCCTTCCTCGGGTTTTCTACCCTTTTATTAGTCTGTAAGGCATCTCAACATGGGCATGGAGGAGGGTCCCATCAGCCGCTTAAATGCCGGCAGGTCTGTGTTGAACTTCTCCTAATTTCTCCGTCAGAATTCTGGTGTTCAACACAACTGTGAGAATCTTATCTCCTCCGTTCTCCGTTTGCATCTCCATGCTGTTCCAATATGCTTCCACTGCATTAGTGTGTCAAACACAGACCAACTGGACCATGTCTCATGGTTTTCATTTGTTGATTTAGTTTTTGTTTTTGTTTTGTTTTTTTAAACTGGTACGGGGCCATTCTTGGTATGGGAATCTAGGGCTTTCAAGCTGCTCACTATCTTCTTCTGCGGTCCTACAACAGTGACTCCAACCTTTTTCAGATCCCTGGATGTTTGGAAAAGAGGGAGAAATAAAAGACAATCAGACAGAGAAATCAGGGGAAAACAATGGGAGTGTGTGTTAGGGATGGTGAATGTGTGACATTTAAACACATGGTCCCCTTGCTGCTCCTTTCAAATGTTGTGTGAAGCTGTCATTCACAAAATACTGCATTTCCCATAAGGCAGCACTGACAGATGCCATTATGACCCTGTCAGCAGAGGAAGAAATGGCATGCAAGCAGCACGGCACAGGAAATCCCAACTTTTTTTTTTGAGCTGATTTTCTTCCATGGCGACATGTGCAAAAGAGTGAAAAGGAGCAGCACTGGAACATGAGTATGAAACAACATTACTTTACTCTACATGCATCCAGAGAAGTCCTTAAGCGAGTATCTCACTGTGCTGCAACTGTTGGTGACAGGCTGTGAGCATGTCCCAAACATTCATGTTGGTTCTCCATTTTCTCCTGAGTTTCAGGGGCCTCGATGTAGATGGACCGTGGCAGCAAAATTATTTTACTCCAATCATTGTGCTCTATCAGTTTGGTGGGCCAATCATAGCATTCAATTGGTTTGGTGGGCCAATCATAGGGAGCCTGTCTCCTCCCTTTCCGGTCAGCTCATGGGTCCCGGGAAGAACGAAAAAATTAATGCAAGCCAACGGAGCTAAAAACGCTATTTTCTAATCCGCTTTGCCTTACGTTCTGGATCACACATATGTTGTACTGCTATTTAATTAATTTTAATTTAATCCATCACTCTCTAAACAACGTGTGCGAAAACCACTAAACCGAGTACTTGGACCAATATGGCCGACTTCCTGTGCGACATTGACCTTGGCCCCAAGTGATTTTTTAGTAGGTCCCGAGGCAATACATTAGTGTACCAAATTTCGTAGTTCTCAGATAAAGCACGGCTGGGGGCTGACAGTGTTAATGGTCCTAGGGGGCGCTATTTCAGAAAATAGGCCACACTCACAAACCTAACACGTCCATTTCTATTGGTGGTCCGACTAGGATCACTCACCAGAGAATTTGTAGCGATACCATGATAACCGATAAAGTCAGTTTTATTTTTTCAATTTGATCGCCCATCCCTTCTGAGCAATTTCCCACAACTTTCAAGATGATCGTGCGAAAATTGATTGAATAAATCAATCAGAAGCGGACCCTAGAAATGGCTAAAACGGTGTCGAAATCACCACTTCAAACCAAAATAGCCGACTTCTTGTTTGATGTTGACCATGGTTGCAAGAGGCTTTTCGGTGCGGATTGTTGGGTACTACAAGTGTACAAAACGTCATAACTGTACGACAAACTAAGCTTTATGGAGGGGGGTGTTTTTCACATTCTAGGGGGTGCTGTGGAGCTAGTTTTATTGCGATTTTTTTGGGACCTTTAAAATACAAAGTACCCCACGCCTGACATGTGTGCAAAAATTCCTGAGTTTTTGGGTATGGGAAGGCCTCCAAAAAGCCAATTTACTTGGCGGAAGAAAAATAAACAGAGCAGATACAATAGGCCTTCGCAGAGCTTTCGCTGCTCGGGCCTAATTAAGAAACTAACACGTTTATTTGCAGTCGTGTTTTAAGGACCTCTATGTTTGCAAGAAAAAGTGTTGTACGTATGTGGTGTCAGTGATTCCAAATAAAATATACCTTTTTACAATTTTGTGTCTAATTAGTCACCAAAAGTGTCAGCCCAGCGAGATGCTTTCTTAGGAAACGATTAAACCCACCTACACTTTTACGTGTAAAATCTTAAAACAAGCAAGGATGTTGTACGCTTACTGAGCCAATTCTGGAACAATACCTGACATCAACTTGAATGAGCACAATATACACAACACTAGACAAAGCTTTTTGGACGCTCCAATTCACACATGGTAATGTTAAATGTTAGGTCTTTTTGTGCCAAAAGTGGGATTGCATTAGTAGAAGCAGTAGAGTCGCAGGCAGAATTGTTGTTATACGACAACACGTTCAGCCGTTAATAGTTCGCTGAGGAAGTTTAGGTCCAGCAGCAGTTTCTAGATGTGAGTGTTTCGTTCCGGCAGGGCCTTTGCCTCGGTCCTTAACCCACCATCCAGAGCCTGAGTAGGATGGAGAAGAGCTAGCTGTTAGAGGGTGGTGATTCCCATGGATGGCTCCCATTCTGGGCATGTGGCTGGAGTGACGTGGACCTCCGTCAGAACCACTCTACTGAGACACAGCCAGGCCCAGCAGCATTAGCACATTACAGAAGGAAATCATCAATAACTGGTGTCCTGGGTGGAAGCTAACACATATTTCTAGACAAACTGTGGCAAAATGCTACTCTGGATATGTGCTTACGTTAAGGTTTTCTGTTGCTATTAGTCTGCTCCACTTTTGTACACAACAACATTTGCATATTTAAAAGCCTTTATCCTCCTGTTCCTGCGCTCATTGCTGCTATTGTTCTAGTCTGTTGTATTTATGCATCCCATCTTTAAGGTTGTAAAAGTGCAGAAAAGCTTAAAGCCATTGAATACACTGCATTGTTTCGTTATGCATCTCCCTGCACTGGTGAAGTACCTTCATTTGTCGTGCAGTTTGGGTCAAGTTCATCACATTCCCAATAATAGATCTGAAATGAACTTTACATGCACCCGGTGCAGATGCAGCATGTGATCGAAATGAGGCAGTACTTTCTCATAAGTCCATCCTCTCCTCCAAAACGGATTAATCAATTACTCCAACTGATGAGTCAGCACGCTTTACCCGAGCATAACTGTTCATCTGAGGTCATCGCCGAGCCTCCTTGTGCTGAATATCAAGGACCAGCTTAAGACCGGACAGATCAATAGAGCTATCCATATTGAGTAATACACAGTTTGAGGAAAGGCTGTTAGCCTTGTAGTTGATCGTGGGTGTCTCGGACTGAGCCTTCAGTGGATTATTACTGCACTGATCTGATTTAGCATCTACCCACAGGAACGACTTTGTAGGCCCATGCACTTTTCATAGTGTGTTTTCTGTTGCAGTTTCTCTGTGATGCATCTTTTAAATATCCAACATGGATTTCCACCTAAACTGGTGTTTTTAACACGCTGTCTGTGAAGAAAATGACAAGGATGCATCAGATATGTGTAGGAAATTGTGTGACAAAGTACTAAGGACAAAAATGCACACACACACACACACACACATATATATATATACAATCTGTAGTATTTCTAAGTATGAAAGCTGAGACAACACGGTGATGAAGAGTGAAAGATGGATGAAAAGTGGGAGGATCCAAGTTCAGAGCTGCTGACCGCCCACTGTTATTAACTCAGTCAGATGGGTCCCCATCACCATGATGAATGGGCGGTTTGATCCCAGCGATTAGAAGAGTCTAATTATTTACCCTGACACATTTCAGCCCTTACAGCAGCAGTGGGCAAGCGTGTGTGTGTGTGTGTGTGTGTGTGTGTGTGTGTTAAAGAGTTTTAGAGGGGAACGATAGATCAAGTAAATCCCCATGAAATTTGATAACTCCTTATGTGTGAAAGGTTTTGGCCCAGTTATATATATATATATATATATATATATATATATATATATATATATACAGTATATATTTATTTATCTATTTATTGTTCAGTATTCATGACTATCGGACGGAGAAAAGACATACGCTCTTGCTATTATTCTACATATGGCCTACATACTCTCCCTTCTTTGCACTTTGTTTTGCATGTGAATGCTTCACAGCACAGAGTCATGTTTGCACTTCTTGATGACGGCCTCTCTCTTTGCTCTTTTATCTTGTCAAATTCTCGTCCCTGTGCCTCAACAGTCTCTCACATGGTACTCAGTCGCTGCTTCCTCTGATACGCGCTTGTTCTCTCCTTTTTTGCTTTATTACGTCCCTCTCTCTTTTTAACACTCACATTTTCACTTCTACTCATGCATGCAGCAGTGAAAGTGTTGCTAAAGACCTGCCATTATGAGTCACTTTATGTCTCAGCTGGACAGCTCCATGGTTTTCTCCTTTTACTGACAAAAACACTCAGGAGAGCCCTAATGCGTGTGCCGGTGAGCTTTCTTGACTTACTCGGTTGAGGTCTTGGCGAGGGTGTCACATGAGCTGTAGCTGACCCCAGAGAAGGCCTCCTTACAAGGCAAGGTCCTCATCGCATCCATCCAGTCACCCATCGTTGGCAGCGAGGGAGCTTCTGCGCTGCTCCGATCCAACAACAGGTTTGCTGGTCTAACAGAGCGGAGTGACACAAACACAAGTCCAACATGACCTTTAATATTTACAGTATTAAATAACATGAACATTCACAGCGTAGCTTCCAAAAACAACAGGTGGATAAGCATCCCCTGATCGTCAGCTGACAACCTGATGTAGTGTCTGACAGGTGCTGTCTAGCCAGCAGGCAACCTGTGGCAATGTTTCAGCTGTACAGAGTGTGCAAAAAACAAGTAGTAAAGCATGTGTACAAAGTACATAGTACATGTAGTACAGCGAGGGTACATAGTACAGACTGGTGCTTGGACTAACCACCATGTGGCCTCAGGTAGGAAACCAGGATTGGTCTCTTGTAAGAGCAAATGCAGGTAGTGATGGATGGGTTTGTAGGTGAACCGGTCCTGATTAACCGTTGGTTTTCCTTCTCCTGTCTTTAGACGTCACGACCGTTGTGTCCAGAAAGGAAAACAACAAAAACACCAGATTTTGCTTTGGCAGTGAATCTGCTGCACATGTGCAAACTGGTAAATAATAAATGCTACAATAATTTTATGTGTTAGCAGATCAGATCAATTTTATTTATATCGCGCATTTTATATGACGAGGAGTCAGAACAAAGTGCTGACGACACAGACTATAATATTTACATAAAACCGTTTAAAGTCCTTAAGACAGAAAAGATAAAAACAGAATTAAAAATTAAAATAAGTAAATAAAATAACCCACACAAGACAGAGTCTCAGACCGTGCCAAAAGCTTGCAGATACGAGTTTTCAGGACGGATTTAAATGATGGCAGCGAAGTTGCCTGACGTACACTCAGTGGTAGGGCGCTCCACGGTGCAGCTCCACATATTGAGAACACTCGTTCTCCCCTGAGCTTCTTCCTCGACCTCGCGACCTCTAACAGTAGTTGGTCCGCTGACCTGAGGTTCCGGGCCGTTTATAAAAGGAAAGAAGCTCAGAGAGACATGATGGGGCAAGACCATTCAGTGATTTAAAAACAAAAATTAAAATCTTAAATTTCACTCTGAAAGTCACTGGCAGCCAGTGAAGGGAGACCAAGATAGGTGTTCTGTGATCCCGCTTTCGTGGTCGGGTCAGCACTCTGGCAGCACCATAAAACGAACACCGTTTTCTTTTATGGAGCAGAAAAATCAGGAGGTTCATAAACTGCCCGACCAAAAAAGCCACCTGGATAAGCAAATAGGTACGAGTCTCCTATTGGATAATTACTGCAACGTTATGTAACCCAACGGTGCAGTGAGCTGCTTCTCATGTCTTAAACAACCAGGTGGAAAGACACATCTGGTGGTCGTGGACACATGTTAGCCTGTGTGAGAAGGGTCAGATCATTGGCATCAAGCAGAGAAAACATCTACAGAGATGCAGAAACGACTAAAACTGGGATCAGAACTGTCCAACGCTTTATTAGAACTGGTCTGATGAGTCCAGTTGGACCCTGGTCCAGAGTGATGGTGCATCAGTGTAAGAAGAGAGGCAGATGAAGTGATCATGCCTACTGTACAAGCCTGTGGGGGCAGTGTTATGATCTGGGCTTGCTGCAAGTGGTCAGGTCCAGGTTCAGCAACAGGAAGTGCTCCAAGAACGAGGTCAGCTGACTACCTGAATATCCTGAATGGCCAGGTTATTCCATCTTCCCTGATGGCACGGCCATATTCCAAGAGGACAATGCCAGGATTCATCGGGCTCAGATGCTGAAAGAATGGTTCAGGGAGCATGAGTCGCCATTTTCACACAGACCTTAACCCCACTGACGGTCTTTGGGATGTGCTGGAGAGGGCTTTGTGCAGCGGTCAGACTCTACCATCATCAGTGCAAAATCTGGGTGAAACATTAATGCGACACTGCATGGAGATAAATCTGGTGATGCTGCAGAGGCTTATGGGAACAACGCCACGGCGAATGTGTGTCGTAGTCAGCGCTAATGGAGGCCCCACGCAAGGCTGGGCGAAATGGCCTAAAATCAATTTCACGATATATTGAGGATTTCACCTCGATAACGATAAATAACTACAGGTTTGCGCAGAGACAAAAGTTGTCCACTAGATGGGGCTGTCACATGTTTATGTTGAGTCACATTTTTACGACTCAAGGTGGTACAGCTTCTTAAAGGGACATGAACGTTGCCAACCTACACACATCTTTTCATTGTTTTATTATCAATTTATTGACATGGGAACAATTATCGATGAGTCGTAAATTTCGATAACGATACATTTTCTATTTATCGCCCAGCCCTAGTCCCACGGGCAGTGTATGACGTCCATTTTATATAATGGTGGTGGACCTATTTCCTGTGTTGGTCTGAGACTCAGACATAGCTTTGACTGCAACAGAGTTAAATCACATTAATGAGAAACAAGCACCAGTTTCCTTGTTTTTCACTGACTTTGTACTTTCTGCTTCAGAAAATGAGTTATGGCCTCGTTGAGAGCTCAGGTTTGCTCAGTCAGTAGAAAAGTCCACGTAGAGAAAGTAAGCAAGGAGGTGAAAGCGTGAGATAACAAGCCATGTCAGAACTTCAGCATCACTCCAGATGTTTTCCTCGGTTGGGAAACCGGATCACACAACGGCAGCAATTAGGAAACCAGGTCAAACCACGTCAACTCAAACTGGGACTAACAACTAAATGTCGTTTCCTCCCTTTTTGGTCCTTTCTAAGGCATTTTGCACCTGTCTTGCAGATTACCAAAAGAAAGGCACCTGTAGCGAGCCGGACACACATGGGAATAGAACAAAGCAGGAAAGAACAGGACAGAAAAGTAGGTGGATCTCCCCGAGGAGATGCTATTCGTGGCAGAGTAAACAAACTCATTAGAGCAGCAGGAAGTAAGTCCACCTCAGCCTGGATGAGCCCATTCCACAGGGAGAGTTGGAACCACTTCGGAAATGTGTTTGTATGATCCGGAGAGACGTTCAGGGAGTCAGAAAGACCCAGATGTAGTAAAGAGCCTCGAACTTTTCTCAGTTGGCCATTTTAGGATGTCTTAAAATCTACAATAAATAAAAGAATTTTAACTTAGGACTAATAAAATGTTGAAATAAAGACTTTAGTTTATTATTTGTTTGTATAAATGAAACATTGTTTATTCTCTATTTCACTGCTGCGTTTGGTGAAGACTTGTCAAAAGCCACGATGCTGCTTTCTAGAGGTTCAGATGAGCAACGGCGCTCAGAAGAGCTTCAGCAGACTGTCATTAGGCGACGCTGTCAGAGGCGCCACGCTGAGCCCAGACAGAAACGACACATGGGATCTCCAACAGAGACGGCAGAAGAAACGAAAAGAGGAGGAGGGAAGAAAGGATGCTGTTGAGGTGGAGGAGTGGGTGTTGTTAGGATGATTGAGTCTTTTCCTGCCAGATCAGAGGCCTGTCAAAAGCTGCGGGCCCCCCGGGACTCCCGGGAAACACCGCTTCGTCTGAAACGGAGAGCATTTTGGGCTGGATGGAGCGGACAGCTTGCATAACCGGCTAAAACTCTACATCCCGTTTTATTTCTCCTAGCCTCAGCAAACTGATTTCAGTAGAAAGAAAATGTGAAGACGTCCTTGCCTTTGCTTGCGTAAATCTGCGGTATGCGATGTTTTCTGTCGGGGTTTTTGCAGGAGTATCGATCTTCTCGTCCTCACCTGGACCATCACTCTTTCTCTTCTCCTTATCTCCTCCTGCTGCGGCATCCACTGGGATGTAAACTGCACGTGACCTTGTTTTCCTCTCCTTTGTTATGTTTTGGGTAAAATCTCACAGCAGCTCGAGAGACGAGGCTACTGCAGAGGAAACGGAGCTCTGAGTAGAATTGGGAGAACTAAGAGAGAAGAGAGCAGCTGTTTGATGCCGGAGGACGCTCTTCAAACCTCGCGTGGGTTTAACAACATGTAGAGATGCAGGACATTCCCAGTTTGAACACACAGGAGCATAAATGCTACAGGAAAAAATATGTATTTCCTTTCTTCCTGCATTTTTCCCTCCTCATAGTCATTTAGCTAGCTTTTCACCTCAGCAGGGTTGTGTGGATCTCACAGGAGTGAAAGGACCAGATGAAGCACGTGTGATCAGAAACACGAGATGCATCTGGTCCATTTCAGTTTGAGTTATTATCATGTCGATTGTAAAACGTGAAAACGAATCTATCTGCAACCGTTCATGGTTCTCTAAATGCCCGCATTCAAAAAGCAGTCATCTAGTTTCATTGGGATATTTCCATCTGAATGTGGGTTTCTTGTCCTGTAACTAGTTACTTTACTCGGTAAAATGGTTATTCATCCTTTTTCTCTGCAGCTCCTCACCGGGTAACTCGCATTTAACACCACTGACCATCACACTGGCTAACAGCAGCACCACTCTGCCACTGACTCGGCTGATGTTTTATCTCCTCAAGTAACACGCCTGGAGGAGTTCTGCTGTGTGGTGGCGTAGCTAATGCTAACGGTTAGCTTCTACTGGCCGAGATGCTCTCTGCTGTTTCCTGTCATGAATGTTCAGTGACAGTGTGATGTAGATCTGTCAGGCTTTTCTAATCTTAGAGTTTCACCGTTTATTTTTGGATTAGGCAGGAAATGGACAACTTTCCCGTTCATATTTCATAAATAACAAGTAAAAAACGTGTACCTTAGTGTGATGTGAGACAGTAAATGTCGCTAAATCACCGCCAAGAGAAACATTAAATGGTTTTGAGTGACCCTCACCTTTAAAAAGTTCAACAAAGAAATAAAAACGTGTTCTCCCCCAAAAAGTCTAAGAAAATGAGCAGGTCTGTGTTTTAGACACCTTGAAAAACTATTCTGACAGTGACCTCCGACCCCAACCGGACTCCTGTTGCCTTGTTACTCGCCCCTGACAGCCGACCTTGGCCCAATGACCCCCCCCCCCCCCCCCCCCCCCCCCGTCCACATGCAGAGGCAGTAAACTCTGACCAGGTCCCTCCTCCCAAGTCTCCAGATGCTCGACTGGTCGCACGCTTTGGTCTGGGGTGTGGTGTTGTGTGTGTGTGTGTGTGTGTGCGTGTGCGTGTGTGTGTGTGTGTGCGTGTGTGTGTGTGTGTGTGTGTGTGGGGGGGGGGGGGCATTACCCAGGCAGGACAGCCCCGAGACAAACGAGGTGTTTTTAGCTGAGTGCAGCTGCTCCCGCTGTGCAACTGCCGCTGCCACCACACACACACACACACACACACACACACACACACACACACTGCTAATAAATCCCAGCGCAGGACTCCGTTGGCCAGGCTGAGCTCGCCCAGTGTTAAAAGCCAATCAAGAAAATTACATGCAAACTCCAAGGGACCTATTTTCACTTTCTTAAGAAATCATTAGTCAGTGTTATGAGCTCTGACGTCTCCATAATACCACACGCCCAATGGCTGCTTCCCTCCCAGCACCAAACCTGACAACTGTACATGTACTGCCCCGCTTCCCCGGAGTCCCCTGGGAGAACCGTAGTCCCAACAAAGGAGACGGGCCCAGGAGAGGGAGGAATAAGGTGGAAAACAAGGAAGCAGAGATGGAGGATCACAAGTGGCTCTTGTGCATCTGTGCACCACTCAGTCTGGATGTTTCAGTTTGCTTCAAACTCACTTAGATTCACTCCCAAAGACCCGATTGCTTTAGTTGAGTTAAAAGATGAGTGCATGCACGTTACGGTTGTGTGCTGTGATGTTTAGAGTCCCTCTGATACCTGGATGTGGTGTTTGCTGTGATTTTGAGGCTGCCAGGGTTCCGGATGAGTTTATCGAGGATGCTGACAATCTGTTCAAACTTGGGACGATTGTTCCGCTCTTTCTGCCAGCAGTCCAACATCAGCTGGTACAACGTAGCAGGGCAGTCCATGGGCGGGGGCAGACGGTAGCCCTCGTCTACTGCTTTTATCACCTGTTAACAAAATAATGCAGAGTGTTTTTATCATAGTTAAACTCAGATAAAGGCCTTTTAAACCCGCGAAGGTCATTTTCTCCTTTCTTCTTCATACCGAGTTCTCTTTCAGGAGAAAAAGGTGATAGTAGTACCCTGTACTGACATCACGTCGCTACATGTCACGTTTTTTTTATGCTAAACCCCCCATTGAGCGCTGCCATAGCAGCTAATAATAACCGAGAATAATAATTGGAAAACATTGTTTTTGGCTGCAGGAGCTCGTTCATCAACGCATGGCGTTGCTACACTTTTACCACCTCTAGATGGCGCCATCTGAGAGCAAACTCCAGATTTCTGCTTCAATTATTGATTTTTTTTACGGTTTGCAAGGCATTAATTCAAAAACCCTCAGAGAGCAACATTTTACTCTAATGGAATTAAACAAGGCGGTTTTGCGCTGGTGTTGGTCCTAACATTAAGAGTTTCATGACCAAGATGATTAAGTTCAGTCATTTTATTCAAAAAGTGAAACTTGTATATTAGATTCATTCATCACAGACTGATGATTAATGTTTATTTACTTAATTTGGACGATTATAAGTGACAACTAACGAAATCCCAAACTCAGTATCTCGGAATATTAAAATATTGTGAAAAGGTTCAAAACTGGAGACCCCTGGCGCCACCTCTAATCGTGTGAAAGCATGTTCTCTCTAAAACTAAACCGAACCTTTAATCTGTTGCAGATAATTCATTCA